CAACATTTATAACACTGTTTAAGAGCTTTGGAATAATTGGATTTTATCAAGAAAGGCGGCTTTAGAGTTCAGCATTAAACAGAGAGACTTTGGCAAATAAGGACCAGAGAGGAAGCTGACAAGTGAGAGGGGCAGCCCAGGGCAGGAGCAACTGGAAACCACCCAACACCAGCAGGGCACGCTGGCCCCTCCCGGGAGCCTTCCCCAGCCCCCACCCCACCCCAATAGCAGCAGAGTAGCTGGTCCTTTGTTACTTTGTTACAACTTTGTAACTTTAATTTGCACAGGCCTGTCCCTGACCCTGCAGCGTGAGGTTAGTGCCCACTGGTCTCTACCTCGCCCTCCCCCTCCATCTCCTATCAGATGGTTACTTTATATGGTGAAGCTGATAAGATAGACTTTTGTTCAGAAACCACAAGTAAATCTCCCGTCTCTGGTGTCTGTGAATAATGGGCTGGAGCACACCTGAGCCAGTGGACAGGGAACGTTCCGGCACAAGAGCAAATACTCTTTCTTGTACTGTGCCATTTATACTTTAGAATCATGCCGCATTCACTGTTTTATATTTATACTGCTACCTTTTATTGCTTAAAATTGATGATTGATGATTTTTGGATAAATCACTCAAACTATCCAGCTTCGGTGTCAAGTGGCAGCTACAGTGGGTTGTTTCATTGTTACTTTTTCTGGAAAACACCCTCCGGGGTCTCTCAGGGCATAATTACAGCGAAAATGAACACAGCCAGAGAGAGTACAGGACACACCACTCACAACCTCTGCCAAAGCTGTAGCATGATGGGTGGTCCCTTGTTGAGGAAAGATGGGCCATTTTATGAACTTCAACAAAACCTACACTATCATCAGTGAGCACAGCCAGCTTAATGGTTCATAAACAGATGCTTAATTGTTGAGACACAAAAGGTCTAGAAAGATGGCCTGGCATTTCTCCAGAAAATGTTGGTCTGAGAACATGGATTTTCTTGGCAGCCTCTTGTTTCTTTTTCCTTCACGTCCCATTGCCAGCCCAGTGCTCTGGAACATTCCAGACCTGCCTTCTCTGCAAGACTTCTCTGCCTCCTGTTTGTCCTGGGCAGTGGCTGTGTTGGCTGCCTGCTTGGCAACCAGGTGCAGGTGCCTAGGCTGGGCCAGGGGTTCTGTCACCTACACGCCCTGCTCTCTGCCCCCCGTCGAGCTCAGGGCCTCATATAATGTTACAGAAAACTGGAGAAGAACCAAGCAACGCTTAGAGAGATGGAGTTACATTTATTATTACACGCGGGCCCAGAGAAAAATGTCTCTAGAATTCTGGGCGAAGTCACACAGGAAGTTTCCTCTATTTATACCTTTTTACCCTCTTTGTCTCCCAAATATGGGGTTTTCTGGTCCCTTTTGCAAGTTCTTAAAGAGCCCCTATGTGCTGGGGCTTTGAGACAGCAACCAAAGGCTTGGCCTGGCGCCAGCACTGATAACTTTGTCTGGGGAAGGTTTAATGGCCTCTCTGAAATGGGAGTAGTCTTAATTTCCCTATTATTTGAGCCAGCAAGCATTTACAGAAGCCGAAATAGCAGGGTTAAATCGGCTTTCCTTATTATTTAAGCAAGCATTTACAGAAGCCAAAATAGCAGGGTTAAAATTTCAAACAGCAGTTTTTATATAAGATGGATGCCTCAGTACAGCAACAGAGGTTGCAGGCACCTGTGCATTTGCAGCAACACCTGGGCATGGGCTGCACAATGGTTTGCACACAGAACAGTGGTTAAGAGAACAGGTTGAAGAGTTGGACAGAGCTGCTGGCACCTGCTGCCTGACCTTTTCTCTCCAAAGGTGAAATGATAGCACCCACCTCAGGGGGCACACGGGAACAGCCTCCACCAACCAGGTCCCCAGGCAGGCGGCAGCTACAGGTGTCTGTCCTCCAGGCCTCTCGGAAGACTTCCACCTGCCAGTCCTCCTGTCTGCGTCTCAGGGCAATGGGAAGCCCAGAGGCCTGTGATGGGGGTGTGGTCTGCAGCACAGAAAGCCCCAGTCCAGGACCTCTTACCTGGTGAGCACAGCCCATGGCCCACCGACTCGAACAGGTGAGCAGCGAGGTGTTGGACCAGGTTACTCAATTGACTTTTCTACACTGACAAGATCAAAAAGGTGGGACTTGAGGTTACCTGGGGAGGGACACTTGTGAGTGAGAGGTGAACACAGTCCAGTGACATTGAGTCAGTCAGAACCAGAGACGGTGCTGTGGACGTCCCAGTGACGTGAGAGCTGCCGCCTGAACACCCCCCAGCAGGGCCAGAGGAATCGCAGGTCCTCTCAGACACCAGCCTGGGGACTGGGGCTGATGAAGGCTGTGCCCAATGCTATACTGAGGGAGAAAGTGCCTGGCAATAACCACAGGTGTGGGCAGTGTTTTTATTCCCTGTGATTAGACCCAGCTGCAGACACAGAAACCCAAAATAACAGTGGCCGAAACAAGACAAGTGTATTTTTATCACTTAAAGGAAGCATGGAGGTTGGCATTCCCAGCTCATGTGATATCCAAAGTGGGGTCACTAGGAACCAGGATGTGCCCCTCTAGCTGCTGTGGCTCCATACTCCCTCCCCACGTGGCTGCTCGGCCCAACCTTCACGTCTGCCTGCTCCCCGGCTTCCGAGGAGGTTTCCAGAGACTCCCAGATGCCATTTCTGCTTACATCCCATCTATACTAACTGCAAGGAAGTCTGGGAAACGCATCAGTCATTCAGGTGACTCTGTGTCAACCCAAAAGTCGGGAGAACTATCACTAAAGAAAACAGGAAGACCCGATATGAGTGTGATGTTGTGATACGATAAATACAGATTGTGTCTTTGTCCCCAGCTCGTGCCTAGTGCTCCTACAACCTTCGTACTATACTTTCTACGTATTGAAGGGGCCACAAGCAGCTTTCGTGTCAGTGTTTGCACTGTGACCCCCGCTCCTGACCTAGCTCCTTGGACTCTCCCGGCTGACGGCAAAGTCCCGTTCTCTTGGGGTGACTCTCGGTGGGTCTGGATTGCTTCAGGTTGGGGACTGGTCGCCCAAAGACCAAAGCCTGACTAGAAGCTTAGAAATTTCACCTTATTCTCCAGAGCGAAGAGGGGCTGGAAATGGAACTGGTGCCTGGCCGTGTTTGCATGATGAAAACCCCATAAGGGTTGGGATCCCGATAGTGCAGGGTCAGCGAGTGGCTAAGACAGGCGTCTTCGGGAGGGAAGGGCCCTCACTCTGTAGGCACAGGAGCTGCTGTGCTCCAGGCCCCTCTGGACCTCACCCATGTGCATCTCCATCTTTCTCATCTCTCTTATTATATAACCAGTAAATGTAGTCACGTGGGGGTCATGGACCCCTATCTTACATCTGGTCAATCAGAAGCACAGCTGACAACCAAGAGTATGGCTGGCGTCTGAGGGGCAGTGTTGTAGGACCAAGACCGGAGGCTGCCCCCAGCCTGGCTGGAGTGGGAAAGTGGACCGCATGGGGAAAGCCCATACATTTGGAGCTGGAAGAGGACTGTGACAGTAAAGAAAGCAGAGCCTGGCTGGTGAGGCTCAGTGGTTGAGTGTTGACCTATGAACCAGGAGGTCAGGGTTCGATCCTGGTCAGGGCACATGCCTGGGTTGCAGGCTTGATCCCTGGTGGGGGGCGTGCAGGAGGCAGCCAATCCATGATTCTCATCATTGATGTTTCTATCTCCCTCTCCCTTCCTCTCTGAAATGAATAAATATACATATACCTTTAAATATATTTTATTGATTTTTTACAGAGAGGAAGGGAGAAGGATAGAGTTAGAAACATCGATGAGAGAGAAACATCGATCAGCTGCCTCCTGCAAACTCCCTACTGGGGATGTGCCCGCAACCAAGGTACATGCCCTTGACCGGAATCGAACCTGGGACCCTTCAGTCCACAGGCCGACGCTCTATCCACTGAGCCTAGCCAATTAAGGCAAAATAAATATATTTTTAAAAAAGAAAGCAGTGAGTTCTAGGTGGGCTTACCTGCTACCGGTCTTTTTTTGTGGGGGGCGGGGACAGCCACAGTCATGCCATGAGGAGATGCCAGTAACCCTGACCTGGTGGAAAGGTGAGGCCAAGGAGAAGGGCCCAGGTGGATGAGTGGGGACCACAGGGTACAGGACCTGTGGACGGGATGGATGTGAGGTGCAGCAGTTCCTCAGGATGGCTGCCGGCTACTGCAGGGAGCAGGGCTTGGGGCAAAGGGCACTTGGTTAGCAAGTCAGTAACCTAGACGGGTGTCACCACAGGCAGCCACACGGGGACCTGGAGTCACAGAGACCTCCCACTGGTGCCTCATGTGGGTGTGGAGCAGAGGGCGGTACTGAGGAAGGACGTGCACGGAGGGGACCGGGCCCTGCAAGACGGAGGTTGTGAGAACAGAGCCAGGAAAGGAGCCTGCGAGCAAGGCCAGCGGCCCAATCACATCAGACAAAACCAGGAAAGTGTGGGAGCTGGGGGCCAAATGAGACAGTTCCAGAAGGAACTGGGCCCCTGTGGTGAGTGCTGCAGGTTAAGCAAGATGTACGCTTGGGTGATGGAGGAGGGACCCACACACCTGCTGACCACGGGCCCGGCAGGGAGAGCCGCGCTGGAGCACAGGAGCCGCGACTGTGGGCATTGCCGTCCGTGCAGCCTGCCAAGATGACACCCTCTGGTCCAAGTTCAACAAGAAACCAGGGCACCCCTCCCCCCTCTTGCTCCCAACCATTGATCCCGGAGCCTCGGTTTAAATGGGACCATCTTGGGCCAGCACCCCTGCCTGCCCAGCCAAGGCAGGTCCCTTCCTCAGCCCACAAGTCTCCTTACCCACGTCCCCCAGCATCTGCTTCCCGGGCCCTCAGTTCGGGAGCTCAGAGGGGCTGCCCTGCACCCCGGCACCCACCCGCTTCCTTGAGAGCCAGGGAGAGGAGGAATGGAGGGGCCGCCTCACCCACAGGTGGCTGGGCCTCCAGGCACCAGGAGCACTTAGAACTGGCCGCACGTGTTTCTCCTGGGCAGGCCTGGCTCTGGGTCTGAGGAGCTTCACCCTTCAGGGCACCTGGGTCTAGTCAAGCCAGGACTGTCCCCCTGACCACCAGCTCTAGTCACAGAGCTCCCACTGCCAACAACCCCGAGGGTGGTTACAGCGCCATGGGGATGGGGGGTGCGGGGGGTGTGAAACGCTGCCCCTCCCCTGTCCCAGCCCCCACTCTCCCAGGTGGCAAGACATCCTGGGGCTGTGGCCTGGAGACTGTGAGGCTGGTGGTGGCAGGAAGTGAGGACAAGAGCACCTGCTCTGATTTCAGGAGGAAAGACGAGAGTAGGAAGCTGCCACCAAAGCCGCTGAGTCCGAAGGCTGCAGACCTGGCTGTGAACAGTCTGAGGGCCAAGGCGGGAGCACCACGGGGCGGCCTTAGCCCTCTCTGGTTCTGACATGACGGTTGGAAAGGCACTGGCTACACACACCTGCCCTGGCCTTGGGTGCTCCCAGACGAGCCTTCGGGGAGAACTGCTCAACCATGTCACACCTTGAGGTCTCTGGGGGACGCACCGAGGGGAGCCCTGGGCTGAGGCAACAGTTGGCCCATCTGGGTGAAGCGGTGGCCAGAGAGGAGCCCAGAGCTCAGCCTCCCAGCGGGTGTGTTCTCTCCTCTAAGAGGTGGCTCGGGAGGTGAGGAGGGGATAGGGTCATAAGCAGCAATATAGAGCCCTTGTCCCTCCGGCTCCTCAGGGACGCAGATTCTGTTGGGGGCACAAGGCAGGCTGCCGGGCCACAGGATGAAACTCCAGAAGACGTCCGCCGGTCCCAGACCTGGGAGTTCTTTGCAACACAACCCAGAAACTCAGAGAAACCTACCTCTGCCTGTGACCCAGATAGGAAAGCAGTTTCCTGCGAGCAGATTTACTACCCAAACCCATGACTTTAATCAGATGTTTCCCTTGAGAACGGATAACTCAATGTACTCACAGAGAACTTTGGTTCACCCCAGCGTTCCTCTGGAGACCCAGGCCCCTGGGTAGTGACCATGACTCAAGAACAGCATAAACGGAAGGTGTCCATTTCTCAAGAGACTCCTAGGTCTCCGTTTACAAAGTGTTTGCTCAGAGCACATAGGGATGAGTCCTGGCAAAGAGACCCGACCTTCCCAGGAGGGGACAGTCTGAGTAAGATGCCAGGCCAGTGACCAGACCCACTCCCCGAGCCAGAGAAATCAGCCTCCTTCAAAGTTGAGAAGGGGGCTAATGAAACCAGTACTGGGGTGCCTGAGGTGGCCCCCAGGGGGGCAGGTGAGGGGCTCTGTTAGGACGAGAGGAGCTCATGTCACCCACAGAGCAGGTTCTAGCACAGGGCACTTCTGTGCGCACGAACCCTGACCTTTCTTCAAGGTAAATGTTAGCTTCTGCGCGGCCGGCCAACAAAAACAGCAGCTGAGAGACATGCCCTTGGGAACCTCAGACACTTTAAACATATACTTGTGTCCAGCTTAGTGAGCACTTTGTTGCCTTTGATAACTATGATTTCTTTATCTTCTGGCAAACAAGGGCCAGGGACTTTTTATTTTTATTTCACAGAGTACAGGTTTCTCAGTGAATCCTTCTCCAGCAGCTGCCTGGCATGGTCCCCGTGGGCCCTGGGGGAAGGGCAGGCACCTAGGGGCAGGCTGAGGGCACCGCCTGCTCAGGTCTGTGTCCTAGACGAAGCCAGTGCCATGAGGATCTGTGAATGGGACACTCACGTTCTCTGGGGCCTGGGAGGGCTCAGAGGGAGCTGGGCCAGGAAAGCCCAGATTCTTGAAATGCAGGCTGTTCTCTTCGCCTCGCAGGCGGCACACTCCACTTCGCCATGGCGAGACTCGCCTGCCTCCCGAGTCAGAATCTACTTTCAGGGCTGGGCATTCCCAGTCTACAGGCCCGGGATCTGTCAAGGGCCCTCAGATCCCACAGCGCTGTAGGGGGTCCTCAGTGCCACCAAGC